TGTTTTTTGTTTATCAAACCGGAGTGGAGGTAGATGAGATTCGTCACCTGGCAATGGCATGAAATGCCAAAACACAAACACTAATTCACAAGTATATTTAAATGTTTGTGTTTAGTTCAAGTACACACCAGATATTTGGGTTTGGCCAAAACGCTCGACTAATTATAAGAACTATAAGAAGAAATCAATTTAATTCCGCTCAAAATCTTTCTACATAAAGAAGATAATTTATAATTTTAATCATGATGGGTGAAATATTACTGTTCATGTACTATAGATAATATTTTTTTTTGAAAAAGAGAGAGTGATCTAGACTTTTACCACCCGACTAATCATTCCAAAGTGAATGTGGTCGTCGAGTAGTCCACTCACCAAATTTAAAACGTGACACCACTTCGACTGGTCAAATATAAATAGTTCAATAGTTCCACATTTCAAGAAACTTGAACCATAGTCTAGATCCACGTAGCAACTATTTCCTAGACATCTTATATGACAAAAGCATATGCGTCTTTTCATATACCCGAAAGATTAGTTTATGTGTCAATACAAAATTCGCTTGTCTATAAAAATTAAACGAAACTATCACTTTTTTTGTTTAATAGTGTTTGGTATAATATTCGATTATGAATAACACACTTTACAAGTCAAGTGATCGCGCAAAATCAAATTTGGACGTGAATCATGTGCTTCACACTTTACAAGTCAAGTGATCGCACAAAATCAGATTTGGACGTGAACCATGTGCTTCACAATGGTCCCATCCCAAGTCCCAACCTAAACCCCCTGCACTTGATATTCGCGAATATACGGTCTAATCCCCAAAAAAATAATTGAAAAGTGTATCATCCAGATCATATGCTAAACCAAATAATGCAATTGATTATAAAAACACTAAAATATGATTTTCGAAAAATAGTAGCATTTTCACTTATTGAATAATGTGTATCATTTTCACACAGGTAATCTAATTTGCTAGTAGCATTTATTTTATTGCGATATAAATAATATTATTAATTATAATATTAAATATATATATATATAAGATTTTATTAAATTAAATTAGTACTTAATATAACATCATATGAAGGAAAATTTAGAAATTATGGACAAAAAATATTCAATTAATACTTTATTATATAAATTAATAAAATTTTAGATTTTAATGGTATTAAATTATAGATTACTGTATATGAAAACCAAAAAAAAATATAGAAAATAATGCTCAAAATTTTGCGAGAATTATTGGGCCGGTGACGATCACGAAAGGTTGCAAGTTTTTGTTTGTAGGCTTCGTGCAATTGTAATAGGCTTCACATACAGGCCCATAGGATTTGAGAATCCGTTCGTAAATTTCTAATGAATATTTTAGAAACATGTTGTAGACTTTTTAGCCGTCTTCTTGAGTTCGAGTCTCTTCACCCACGACAATTGAATTATTAAATTTTACATGAAAATGAGAGGAAGAAAAAATAAATAAATAATTCTGAATATCTTACAGCAGTGTTAATTAATTATGGTAGCATTTACTGCCAATTATTAAAATTCCAAAAATAAAAGAGAAGTTATTTCTTTATATTCGAATAAATATTAAATGCATTCATGTGTTACACATTGTAACCCCCCTTTCCCTAATTCATGGCAATCTATTTCTTGTCTCCATCATTTTTTTTTCAAATTTCAAATCATTCTTCTTCTCACTCTTAATAAATCCTTCTTTCTTTCTTCTCAAAAAAATTTCTTTCAAAAAGCCACTAGAAAAAAACTATTTTCTCGAGAAAAAAAGAAACAGAAAAGTTCTTCTTCAACACTCATGGCTTCTTCACAATGGACAATACCAAAACTTGTCACTTGGAGAGTCAAAGATTGGGCTTCTTGTTTCTTGGCTTCCAAGTTCCCTCTAGGTCTTTCTCTATTCTCTTCTTCCCATAATTTCATTTTTCCCTATAAATTCTTGTTTAAATTATTTTACCGGTTATATTTTTAATTAGACGTAGAAGATGATGGAGTTAATAGTAATGGA